TGAGATGAATGCTCGGAATTGTCGTTTGCAATAACTTATTGTCGTATTCGTTCTTTTATCTACTCGATAGAAGCATTTAGTCGTACATTTGATGCCAGGTCACCTTCTCGCGTACCTCTTGGGGAGCCCCACATTTGTGTATTCATGGAAGTAAATTCCCCGGTGTAGCCGAGAGCCACAAACTTTCAACAGGTTCCCAATTTCTCTCATATATACTCATATTTTATTAATTATCACCTACAAAGTATTGCTAATAACTATATGTAATTTCAATAAGGAAACTTATCTGGCTACATGTAAATTCAATATCAACACTAGATGTTCGCTCAACACGTCCTGGCTTACCTTGTGATGACAAACCCTGGGTTTTCGCTATTTATAGTTTATCAACACCTGGACGCATGCGCATTTTATAGTTTATCAGGCACTTTAAACTGGTCAATAGCATCATTGACATGCTGTTGAGACAATCGATTCCACTTCCCAACAATTCTATCCTTAATAAGGGACTGGGTAGAACTTATGGACGAAAAATGTGAAACTTCCTGATTACATGTGTAGCATGGTCCTTTCTCTTGTCTCATCCCTTTGTAACCAATATCATCCCAAAAATATCGAGAAGAACTAATTCGCCTAGCGTTCTGTCATAATCCTAATATATAGACAAAATCTTCCTGCCCATGCTTTTAACAATGCTCTCTTTAGGACATATTTTTTTGAAACCGATGCATTCTTTAGCAGAAAGTATAGAAGCGGGAAAGGAATAACTATGTTGACTGAACCATCCTTCAACCAGTGTTGAACTGCTTTTTCATTTTACATGTATGCCTACATATCTCTAAGACGTTTGAGAAAAAACAGGTGTAAACTCAATCATATTTCGTAAGACGTCTTGAAATGTCGCGTGTAGTGTAAATAGGGCTAATAAAACCTTAAAGTCCCCATATAAAGTTTAAACCACGTTGGCTTATATTGTAGTCTTACCCAATTTTATCAAAGTCTGATATGTGAAACTTTTTAATTTCAAAAAGTGGTTTTTGAAGGACTTTCTGTTCGAAAAATTGTTAATTTCTTTAAAACTAACTTTAAGAGGTTACACATATCTTTTAATAAGCGATAATTCATACCAATGCACAGCATTCATCCTAACGTGTTTTTTGCCGAAAAGATTAAGAAAATCGGTTCATAAATAAGCGAGAAATGAACTCATAAATCCATGAAAATGGTTCAGAGAAAAATGCATTTCAAATTTTTAGTTCTCATAGAAACCAATGGTACAATAATATCTAAAACATAATATATTCCTCCTTTTAATCTGGTTAGACAATCAGCATTGATTTAACTTTGAAGTTTAGCATATTTAGAAAAGATTGACATAGAAAAAAAAATTTCATTTTTTCAAAAAAAAGAGTCATCGATGACATCACTCAGGTTGCAAAATATTTTTGATATGCTAAAACATTGAAGTGGCACATTAGATATGGCATTTTATTATTGAAATAGTGTGTCCTTTGTTCAATCTTTGCATAGGTGTTAAAAAGATAATCTTTTTTGAAATGTATGATGGAATATTTTATGATTAAACAATTTCAACTTTTTTTTGAAAAATGGCGGGAAATTTGAATATTTGAGAAATGAAAAGCTGACAACGTTTTTTTTCAAAAAATCTCTAAAATAACTTTTTAAGTCATGACAAATAGGAAATGAATGATAAAAACATATTTTCAAACATTACACGGGGACTTAAAATATAACTTAATAATCAAGAGACCACAGTGCAAAACGTTTGTATATTTTAGATAAATTAGTTTTATGTTAAAAAACTCGCGGCCTCTTGCAATTTAGGGAGTTTCAGCCATATTAATTTTTTTAATACATGTCAGAGAAGCATCAAAATACAAGAGGAAACACATTTTATTAGCCAAACCACAAACAATCCAAGATGTACAAACTTTTTTTAAATGTATTTTTCATGTGATATTGCAAGTGTGTTTTTGATTCCTTCCTTATATTGACGCACGACCCAACTGAAAATCAGAAATGGACTGTACATTGTCAACTATGGTCACCAAACTTAGCACAAGTACCATTGGGACAGGCTCTAAGTTGGAAGGGGTGGATATGGGCACCTATACAAGTGTTCCAATGATTTATGGAGTGGACTACAAAGTCAGTAGTCGATTTGTGGCTAGTACCGGACAAAAGTCTTGTTTCTCCGTATTTATGTCTATACTGTCCCACCATTTATTTAGAACATTTTAGGCTATTTGGGATCATTTTTAGTTTTTGTTATAAAGCACAAATGGCAGCTGTAGAAAACACAAACTAATATTGATTCTTATTGACATACTTTAAGAATATGGAACTGCCCTTTTTGTTGTTGGTAATATATAAGTCTGTAACCCTGCATAGTATCAGAAAAAATCAGTTTTTATGAAAGACAAAAAACTAGACTTTAGGATGCATCGAAAACTGTTTATTAACTAGCATAAAGTTGAGGTCACACCAAACTTGTTGCCTTAAACTGTATTGTCTACAAACTATACGAACCAATTACAACATTTTATAGTCTTTTTACGAACTTTGCTCGAATGGTAAGGTGCTTCGAAGCTTTGAGCAAATGGTGCTGTGGAAATTGGTTCAAGATAAAATGATAATACAAAATAAATGCGTGGTAATTCATTAGAGGTTTATAAAAGGTTAAAGATTCTCGCAATCTTTATCCAATCAGCGTTTGCGATGTGTATCGGCTCAGGTATAAAAGGCGAATCCAACTCAAATCCATGCAGGGTTGTATGAGGTACTCGAATAGGAAAGAGCTCGTGAAATCTGAATTTATATGCACATGGTCAATGTTTACACATGTTTGGAGTTATTGAAGAAAATGTGATATGGGTGTGGTTCCGAATTTGAAGTCATTGCTGGAAAATATGATTTTAATACGTGAAATTATATCTATAAATACAGCACTAAAAATAACAGTACACATGAAGTACGTGTATGATTGTGTTCAGAAATGTTTGAAACCCTTACGGAAAATTCTGTCTGCATTTTGTCACCATTGCTCTTTCTTCCCGCATTCTAGTGCTGTTTTAATGAATATATTAATTAATGTATTTCTAGCTAAAATATATCACATTTTTTTATAAACCACAAACATTTAGATCATAAAAAAATTATTCAATACTTGAGTGAGCACGATATGCAAGGGTTACTAAGTTGACACAGTAAATGACCACTGATATTGTGTTAGTCCATGGACACAGCGTATTCTGCTTATACACATTTCACGGCGTATAACCCAAACGCTCCTACATGCACGACGGAGCGTTTCATTACTGAAATTAAACAAAGAAACGCTCCGGAGCAGGAAAACTGACTGGCGGGAATGATGAGCCATCTGACGATTTCCCCAATAATGGGAATAAGAGGTATGAGTTACATATTTCGAGTATACCATTCGATGGGTGTGATATTCATGTTGTACTTGGCTGGCTGTTGACGTTTGAAGCAATTAGGAAGAGCTGTACGAAGCAGTATAGTTATCAAAATTCAAAAACGTATTTGTCATTCTACCGGTCAAAACCCCTTTTGTCGATACATGTGATTAGTTGAGCTAAGATTAGAGCACCAACGTATATTTTAGTCAAATTCCAATGCTTCAACGCACCATACATTATCATAATAGTGATTTGATGACCGAATATCCAGTCTTAAAAATTATGACATTCTCATATTCAAGAAACGCTCCGATCTGGTTTACACAGTGAACTGGAAACGCTCCGGTAGTCTAGATCAGTTTAGGAAATATATAGCTTGCCTTTTCTTTTCAGGAAGAGAAAGAAAAGATCTATTATACCCCTTGGCATCAATAGAAGAAAGATTAATTCACATTTTTCTATAGTTTTATGATTTAGCACATATGTAGGCATGACATCATCTAATGTAGGCTTAAATCAGCTAGTTGCACGTTTAGCACCACCAGGTTCAGATGTTTCAATTTGCCTAACAAGTACAACACGTTTTTGAGAGATAGATTCGATTCGAAACTCTTCTCTAATAATCTGAAAATTATATCAAAACAAAATGGTAAGAGCGTTTCTAAAATTATTTTCTAAATCGACGGAGCGTTTCGAGGAAAACAAGCGATTTCTCGAGAACAAGTAATGGATTTGGACTGGGATTTTAGGAAATGAGAATATACGAGTTTGTGATCTACTACTTTAACAGAAAGATTAACGTTTTCAAAGAAATACTAGTTTAATTCGTAATTTGTGGTCAAATCGTCATCTTCAGATTCGTTCGATCTACACTACGGAGCTTTGATCAAGCAAATAACAGTTTACCACCAGAAGTTGAATAAATCAGATCTTTGCTCACGGTATTGTTCATCGAATGGTACATAATATTAACGAGAGGAACAATACCTACGGTCATAGTGGAATCTTCATTAGCCGCCATTTTATTTCTCTCCGGAGCGTTTCCGCGTAAATGAAACGCTCCGTCGTGCATGTAGGAGCGTTTGGGTTATACACCGTGCATTTGCTAACACCCCCCACTTTCATAGTGAAGTGACTAATTGGTTTATGTTTACGTTTTAATGTATTTTGGGTTCTTTGTTACAGCAAGGGGGGCCAGTAAAGTAGACTAACATGTTTGCATGGCAAATTTTGATCGAATATGTGAGACACTTTAAAGTAAGTTCTCATTAAGATTTACTCGTTTTTAGTCGAGTACTAGTCGTGTATTGAAGACTGTTTATATAAACTAACTAGCATCGTGTTTTATGACATTTCAAACCGATCTCTTTCTAAGATCATTTTATGAATTTTAGGACGGGATAAGACGTTTAATGAGAGCTAGTTGGGTGTGACTTGGGGATTACTTGTACCAACGTAAATACGTTGTATAATTATACAAAGTTCAGTCTTGTGTTTTGCAATATTTGAAATGATTATTTGAAACTAGACGATGTCAAATTGCCTTTCTGAAAACGTCATTTAAATTGGTCGGATTTTGAGCTTTATCTCTTTGAAAGAATAATGATAATTGGCAGTAACTCCAGGGAGTTTCTCAGGCCAATAATGCCAAGTTATACAGCCAAATGCACCCGCATAGTTACCTGTGCATTTGGAACCTTTTATGTATTTGCCAAAGACAGAACCATAGACGCCGTTACAACCACTTCCATACCAATAAGGCCCTTGAAAAACCACAGCGCAATGTCTTTTGTCAGCATCGTTATCAGAATCCTTGGTTGAGAATTGGTCATGATTGGCATTTTTCATTGAATCACCTGCTGTTCCACTATAGCCATCAATATTCAACCGGTATTTGTTCTTTTCATCATTAATGTCAAATGTTCTATATTCAGCGTATCGTGTCTCATTCTCCCATGTTGTCAGGTCAAACCTTGCCTTGTATATCTTCTGTTGTAACACAGCTACAATGTTGTCCATTCCTCTAAAGTGTTCTCTGAAAATATTGCCAAAGCCCTGTCTGTAAGCTGCCCAATCCAGGTTGAAGTCCACACTCCCATCGAAGCGGTGTGCAAGTATGAGCCAACCGCTTTCACATCTTGCAAGAAACTGTTTACCAGTCCTGGTGGTTATTATATGGACTCCATCCGCTTGCCCACTGCAATCTTCTGCTACAGGAAATGTGACATTGGTAGACAGTTCTGGAAGAATAAATAGCAAAGCATTGAGAATATAGTAAGTGAATACTGACAATATATACAAGGCATTAACATGCAATATATCGCAACATGCCGTTTGTTACAGACGCCGAGCTCCGAACACCAACCGCTGAACGCCGTCCACAAAAAGTTGACTTTTGGTGGTGACATAATAAGTCACACAGCAGCCCTGTAAGCTCTAGCTAGTAAGATTTAGTTGCAAGCCTAAATGTAACATGATCTTCAGCATAATATATTCATGAGCCTCGCTTTAGCTTGTTGCTTGGTAATAAACAGCATCAAGATGGCTGATAGTCAGGCTCAAGATACTCGTTTGTTTTAGTTAGAATTGCCCACATAGTTCATTTGAGCATGTTAAAGTCTAATTTCACTAGATATCCTTAGTGTATTCACTTGTCTATCATACTAATTGGTACTAATCTATTTCAAAGCATGCAAGTGATGAAATCAAGAAGATTCAGTATCTCACTAATGTTCTGCTAATTATCTTAATGTTCCTCAACTTTAACCCTTCATAAGTAAAAATTTTGTCGGTCAACCCCAAATGAAATTTACTGATTATTTTAGAGCAAGATGTCTCCTATCATTTAAAGAAAGTTTCATTTGGGGCGCATCGCTAGTTTTGAAGATTAACTAATTTTAGTAGACCCTACACATTGACAAACTCCCATTTAGTGAGAACAGTACAAGATAAAAATGTCAAATACACAACAAGCATCAGTTTCCTCTTATTTTCACAATCAAGATGAACATCAAAGAGCATTGGAATCACTGTGTAGGCTGTGCTCTTCTAAAAGAAAATCTTCTAAACAAAATGTCAAAGCAAGATCATGTATACTTATTCAGTCAGAGCTCTCTAAAATATGCCCATCTATAAAGTTAGATGAAGATGAACCACTGTATCATCCATCAAAAGTGTGTGAGAAATGTTACAGGCTTATTAAGGATTTAAACAGGAGGAAAAGACAAATACCTTTAGAAACACTCACATTATATTCAAATGTCAACAAAAAATGGATAGAAAATGACTCTGAGAAATGTTGGACGTGCGAAGTACACCAAAGCGCCAATCCTTTTCAAAAATCAAGGAAAAGATCATTTGAAACAAGTTTGAATGAGGAGGACTTTGCAAGAGATATTAGTATGAGTCACAGCACACCAAAAAAGAGGTGTAATGTGATAAGCGACAATGACGCATCTACCTGTATGACACCTGGCCGAGGACGTGATGCAACAATAAGAGACATCTTGCAAAAACCAAGTGATCAGCCATTGTCAGTATTGGAAGATAAGCTTCTGACTTCATTGGTTAAAAGAAAGTTAAATCATTCCCGTAAGAAAGAGGAGCTCCACTGCAAAACTGGAGGAAAGGTAATTATCCTTTATATCAAAAATAACTAAATTATAGTCAATCACTGCAAGTAAAATTACCAAAGTGTACCAATGTTATATGAAGGAATGAATTGAATAAACAGAATCAATAAATAGATAAGTAAATGAAAAATCAATCAAAAAAGCTCCCCTCCACATTTGTTAGACTTAGCCTCTTGAAATACAGCTGTTTTGTGGGCTATTCATTTAATTGCACATTTACATTTATTTTGAAATAATTTCTTCATAGATCAACATCCATGTGCTAAGAATAGTTCCAATTTTTCCAGCCACTAGTTTTTCTCAAAGTTGAGCAAGCACAAGTTAAAAGTGAATCAGCCTCTTCACCATTAAAAAAGAGGCGAGCACAAAAAATAGGAAAGTACAGAAAGGCAACAAGTGGAGGGACTGATGACTCAATTTTGCACCAGCTGTCACGTGAGTGGCGTGTCCAACATTATAGGAGGAAGAACCGGGAAAAGTTGGAAAAATATACCAAAATAAAAGCATCAAAACTTTCCGGGAAACAGGCTCTCTCTATGAAGGCAGCTGCCAAATTATCATGGGGCCAAGTTAAAGTAATTACACGGCAGTTGTCAAGATCTAACATCAAAATAGAAAGTGAAAATAAACAAAGGGAATATAGAAACAAGTTACTTGAGAAAATAAAGCTGCGTGGCAAAATGAAAAAGTTTGGGAAAAGGAATCTAATATCTCCCAATGGACACAAAGGCATCATATACGAAAGAATGCCAATGGCTTACATTGAGGATCTACCACAACATCTATCTAACCACCTGGACAACATGTTGAAATATAATATGCTGACATTAGATCACCCTGTTATTCCTCATGATTCGATATGGGTCAAAGTTGGGGGTGATAAAGGTGGAGGATCGTTTAAAGTCAGCCTGCAGGTACTGAACACACCACTTCCAAATAAAACAGACAATGTATTGGTATTTGCAGTAATGTGCGCAAATGATAGCAGAGAAAATCAGGAAACCCTTCTTTCAAGATACACCTCCCAGATAAACAAAATTAAAAACATGAAATGGAATAATAAAACAATAGAATTATGTATGTGCGGGGATTACGAATTTCTCTGCAGAATAATGGGAATTTCTGGTGCTGCTGGTTTGCATCCTTGCTTATACTGTCATATTCATACAAATTCACTACACATTCCACATGATGCGAGGGGGGCATCACAGCCTAGGACGATGGAAACTTTAAAAACATACCACAAAAAGTTTCTTAACGAAGGAAAGGGAGACAAGAAACAAGCAAAGTTATACATGAACGTTATTAATTCTCCTATTATGGAAATAGACACAGATGCAATATGTCCACCATACCTTCACATCTTGTTGGGAATTGTAAAAAAACACCATGATCTATTATTGCTGCACTGTAATAGAATTGATAAGGCAATCGCTGAGTGTATAGCTGAACAGGATGCCCTTAGAGATCAGAAAAGGGATACCCCATACGGGAAATACATCACTGAACTTGATAAAATAAAAAAATTGAGAGAACAATATAACACAATAACAAATCTGACCAAACGTGAAACAATGGAGGCTGATATTAAACAGCGGGAAAAGAAGAATCAGTTACACATTGAGGCAGGGACAGTTGCAAATGTATTGGATGATACTTTGAAAAAACATAACATACATCGTGAGGCATATCATGGTGGTTCATTTGTCGGAAACCAATGCCATAAGTATTTAAATGAAGATGTGTTTAATGATTTATGTGACAATGTTGTTGCTGCCACAATCAAAATATCAAAAGGCCTGAAAGTTGAAAGATTGATGGTAAAAAAAGCGAAAAAAATTTGCCGTGGGTTCAAACAGGTAAACCAGACGTTTCTCCCAATACACCAAGCAATTAGTCATGACAAACCAATAGATGAAATGGATATACCTCAAATTCAATCAAAAATAGATGCATACTTAACAAAATATAGACAATGCTTTCCCCGGACACGAATTACAGTCAAACAACACATGCTTGAGGACCACATTGTACCCTGGATAACAAAATACAAATGTGGAGTTGCTCTTCAAGGTGAGCAGGGAATAGAGGGAATCCACAAAGTATTTAACCACCTTAACAGGAGAATGTGCGGGATTAGGAACCCCCTCAATAGACTTTTGTCGACGTTTAATGAGCACATAGTTACATGCCAACCAGAACTGATAGCCGCTAATCCTGTCGTTAAGTGCCGAAGAAAAAGAACTAAGAAGTTAGAGGATTGAACTGTGAGTATTTCATTGATTATAAAGTTCAAACACACACACACACACACAAAACATAGTCATCAAACACAGACATTGTAGCTACTAACATGCATGAATTTCAGAGATGTGTTTTAACACCTTTCTATTAATAATTACTATAATATGGCATTGAAACTTACAAATTTCTAAATGGTACTTCAATGTCATCCTAATGACACTCATGATTATATGGTTATGATTCCAATTTTATGCCAGATTATTAAAACTATTTAAGAAAGATAAAATCACAGCAAACATTAAACATCATTAAGCACTGCCTAATAGATAATGAGATAGTGATACAGCCTTAAGTATGCTAATAGCCTACATCAGTTAAGCAGCGCTACTAGTGGTAATTGATATACACTACAACTAAATCTTACTAGCCAGGGCTGCTGTGGTCAATGATGATAAGATTTACACCAAGTTACCCAATCTGCTGATTGATTTGAACAATGGCGAGGACCTTTTTGGTAATATGAAAGTATTGATTGTTTAATTAAAACCAATTTCTTTTTTACCCACCCAGCCATTTGAGAATATAATGCAGATTTAAAGCCACATAAGCACATAGATAACAAAGTTGACACAATTAAAACAAATTCAATGACTAAAAATATTTCTCGCCATTCCTATATTCTGAGAAAGCCCAATACAACAGCTCTGACTTTATTTCAAGTGTGTTCAATTGAAAGGATGGGTATCGATATGGCGAACTTTTTGAACACACGTTTCTCTTAAACCAGTCATCAAAAAATTCTGAAAATTTTACACATTGTCAATTCAATGGTCATCTTTTGAATGGTAACAATATAATTGGAAAGATATATATATATACTTTCATCTATATTGTTTTAGAAAACACATCAAACGCTTGTTTTGTTCTTGGTATCATGTTTCCAGAGTGAAATGAAACATCTTTCCGAACCTCATTGGAACAAAACGACATAAACACAACATGTCTCTCAATATTGTAATTGTACAAAGGAAATTTTGGTTCATTTTAAAAAAAGTATCTTGTTAATGAAATAAAAGGTTTATCTTGATTTTTATCTATTTTGGGGAATTTTGTTTTAATTTTTTGAATACTTTTTAAAATGAACCAAAAATTCCTTTGTATAACTATAATATTGAAAGGTCTAAAAACATGTTGTATATGCTATTTTGTTCCAACAAGGTTCGGAAAGACAATATATTTCATTCTCGATAATTGGTAGAAAGGAGCAAAAACAATTGCACTAGAAAAACGAAAAATGTTAACAAAAACAGTTATATTAAATATTTCTAAATAATTTTCGCATTAAATTGTTGTCAATCAGTCAACATTACATAAAATACCGTGTTTTTTTACAGAATGTTTTAAATGATTGGTTTAAGAGAAAAACATTGTTGAAATCAGTTCTCCATATCGATACCACTCTTTTCGCTCCAAACATATTAAATTATCTGTATAGGTCTAATTTTCAAGGTGTTTACGCCAATACGTGTATATGTACCTGAATATGTTTGATCATCTGATCCTGTCTTGCACGTCTCTACTAGTTTCCTCATTTGTTCCCGAATCATCATTTCAAGATCTTCCTTCAACGATTCTGTCCCCGATGTGGACTCGGTGAAGTTTCCTACAACATGACAAAACATTACAAATATGAACATTTCAGATCTGTTAAGTTTGCTCGACTTTTACCCCGTCTCAGTTCAAATTTTATATTCATTTCTTTCATAATTAATATTTTATAAAATACACAAAATTAACATGATTCATCACATCTTGATTAATTGTTGGAACGTGTTTTTTCAACATTAATTTTCGACCTACTAACATAATCACAATTATATCATTTTAAAGTCAAGTTTCATGCGTTTTACATTATATCATATTTAACGAAGACAATTTAAGAAAAATACCATTTGCTTTATTATTCTCCGTGGTTTCCGGGCGTCGACAGTTCTTTAGTTGTTCTTGAATGGCTTCAAACATCCTCGATGATTTGTTACAAACTGAAAATACATAAATGCTATAAAATAACAACAAATTAGATCTTGGAATGTGTCAATGAGAAATTATGTCATATGAATATGTTATACTTTGTTTATATTATCGAAAAGAAGAAGCCATGGGCCTAATTTATATCTCATTCACATTTAGTCTACGACTAGGCTACGACGCCCGTAGCCCTCTCTCCCCGAAATCAAGAGATACTTGGCGCGGTCGCAGGTTATCTTTGATATACTCAGGGTCATCCGCGGCGTATCTCAGGCCGTAGTAGCGAGAAATAGTTTCATGATTTTACGTTAGTCGTTGCAATTAGATACGGCGTGACCATGCAGTAGGGCCATTCCAAAGTGCAGGGGCGCCCAAAGACGACCGTGTTTCATCACTTCAAAGGCTATACGGCCGCCGCAAGTTTCCCGTCTCAACAAATTCAGAATACGCCATGCGGCAATTCTAGCATATCTGATCGCTACAGTATGTGACCATGGGAACGCTACGGCATCCCTATTGACCTTAGACATTTTAGACCCCAAGGCCGCCACGCTGTGACAAACGTACTTTAACAATAACTATTGTTCACAGTAACTATTGATGCATGTTGCACTAAATATTCTTACCTTCAGAACTGGCGGCAACATTGATACGACTTTCGGTTGTTAACGCATCTTTTTGGCAACCCTTCAGCTGATCTTTAATTTCTTGGAACATTGTGGAGGACTTGTTGCAAACTGCAAATACATAATGATCAAACATACAATCTGCGTCGAATAACGAAAAAGCATGAAACGAGAACCATGTAACAAAACGTCTGGGAGATGAATTACTTTCTTAAGTCTCTGTCACATTTGCTCTACGGCGGGCGTACGGCAGCCGTAGCTTCACCACAAAATCAATATAGAAAATCTACATCATACTGCTTATCCTTCTTATGCTGCATATGTATATTAGACATGTAAATTTTGGGAAGCTACAGCCTCCATACGGTTGCCGTAGATCAAATGTGACTGAGGCATTAGATATTTATAAATATTGTAAACTTCTCACCTTCTGAGTCAAGCAGTGGTTCAATGGTCTTAATGTCGTCAGTGTCATCTTTCTCGGTGTTATCATTTGATAATTCGCTCAACTGTTTCTTCATTTCTGCCATCGATTCTTTCAATTCCACCAGATTGTCACGAACATCGGATTCACCCAGTCTTAGGTTGGACACGTCATCCCTCAGATTTGACACGTCATCCCTCAGATTTGACACCTCATCTCTCGTACTTGCAGAATCATCTTTCAGATCTGTTTTCAGTTTTTCGATCAGGAGTTGCATTGCTTCTTCAAGGTTCCCAAATTCATCTTTAATGACTTGTCCAGTACCCTGGCCACCGCCGCCACTTGGTTTCTTCCCTTTAGATTCAACTGCAATTAAACAGCCGAGGCAAAGAATTGCCCAACTGTATGCTATGGAGCACTGCATGTTTATGATGATACAAAATAGTTTGAGTTTAATCAGAAAAAAGAAATTTAAATTGACTATAATCACCAAATGTTATAATAATTTACATTCCGTAATGGGCCATTACTGAGAAAAAGGAATAACAAAAGTCTGTGGCAAAATATTGTCAGTGTTGCCTTTGTTAATGGAATGAAATATTGTTATTATACACATTGAATTGATAACTTAAGCAAATGAGAATCCTTAATGAATCTGACTACATGCTAACCAACATGTTAAAACCTTTAACATCTTTCAAAAGATCACGGTATCTCCAGATTTACAGATCACACAAGATAACATATGCCACATTGTATGAATTCGTATCATTTATATCCTCTAGTTTGTTTACTGTGCACGAAGTGTACAATTCATTACTTTCATACAAGTGACGATGGTGCTGCCAGTATAAAGTCATTTCCATGTGAAATATGTTTTGGTGGGTCATATGACCGGGTGGTGTTTTTTCTTCCTACTAAAAGAGGTATATTGCCACGTTTGGACTTCATTTACACAGTTTTAGTTTAAAAACGCCTGAAATTGTTCATATAACAATTTTGATATAACATAATATTTGGGTTGCACCAATTAAAAATGATTTATGATTTCAGGTGTGATAACTTGATGCACAAGAGTGACAAGGCGTTGCAGTATGGCAAATGATGGAGTGGAAAATGTCGTAAGGGCTCACCTTGAATGCTCGATTTGTCTTGAACAACTGAAGCTTCCTAAGTTGATCCCCGGATGTGGCCACACCATTTGTTGTGATTGCCTAAATAATTGGGCGAAGACCCGGGGAAAGGTGCAGTGTCCATGTCCGGAATGCAAAACACCATTCGACATGCCTGGAGGTGGAGCCCAAAATTTGAAGACCAATTTTAAAGTAATGAATTTACTGGAAGCTTTGAACAAGAATAAGGCACCAAAGAAGGATCTCTGCCATCGTGGTGTTACAGAACACTCGAGTGATGTCAAGGAATGTGCCAAGATACAGAAGCAAGGTAACACTTTCCCTGCTTTAGAATCCATGACTATATTAGCAAACGGGAATCTAGTCACAGCGCATGGCAAGGACGGTATTAACATAGTAGACGCCGACACACTCAATGTGAACAAGCACATTGATAAAGAATGTGTACGGCTCACATCTATTGGAAATAAAATCATAGCAGTGGATCGAAAACCTGGCACCATAAGCATACTGAGCCATCAAGGTATCAAAGTTGGGTCCATAGATTGTGTGGAGGCTCCAGTACAATGTGTAGCAGGAGCTCCAGCACAAGAGTTGGCAGTCTTACAGGGATGTCAACCAGCATACAAGTTACTATTCATCGATCTCACTACGAACACTACAAAGGCCACGTGTAATGTAAGGAGTGATGGTAAAATGCCCTCGATGGCAATCACCTCCAGTAAGATAGCTGTCATTTCATATTTCAAAGATAGCATCGTTGTCGGTTATATCCAGAAGGGCGACATACTCTTCAAATATGACGCGCAAAATCTTACTCCAAGGGGATTGTGCGTAGATTCGCTTGGGAACATTATTGTAGCTAGTTCCGCCAATTATACAGTTCATCTTCTCAGCTCAACTGGAAAGTTCAAGAAGCTGCTCGTCGATGAAGAAGATGGCATCAAAGAACCTATGAATGTGTCATTAGACAAGCAACATAATCTAAATGTTGGGGAGGTGAACTGTATTCTATCAAGTACTGTAGAGAAAATGAGGGTGTTATCTCAGAGTGTAATACCCTCTAGATTAAAAACTTCATAAGGCCTATAACATGTTTCCATTAACAGGACTCCACTCACATACGCACTTTACACAGACTTTGTATTGAAATTATAAAGATGCTTTATGGACACATTGCATGTAACATCTTGATTCACAAGGTTTCACTTGCTCCTTTACAACAACTTGGAAGTCGAAGACGTTGTACAGTTAAACCTGTATATTCGACCAAAAGTGTCGCTAACCGAACGCAAAAACCATATAAATCACCCTTTATATGCCGATGTTTCGCTATGCAACAATACAACAATCAATTATCATATATATGGAAATGTGAACTTCTTGCATTGTTGGAGTATAATAAAGCTGAAACCATTGTGAATTCTAAATATTCATGTTCACCATTTTGTTTGCTGGGACTATTTTTTAGTCCAGAGAAATCTTCATTCATGTATCCATTGTTTATCATTCATAATGCCTCTATCATGTATCTATCATGATAATTATACTGTAATAGATAAAATATACTAGTTATAATCCATGCCACTTGGCGAAGTCACAAAATTTGTATGAGGATTAATCAGGAATTCACACATAGCTAGACGTGTGAAGGTGTGTCCAAATTCAGCCAATCCGAACACAGTATTTCGCATAATGCACTGTGCATGAAATTCCAACGACTCATCCAAGGTCATTCCTTATGTGGTTGCCAAGGGGACAAGTTCACTCAACAGATTATAATTGATTGTTTGCCAACTTAACCCTTGCAAAATGTTTCATTGAAAATATGTTATTTTAGTGATTTCGAATCTTTTAGGTGACATGATAGAAAATATTTTGCGATGTGTGAAAAGAATTTAAGCCTAAAACTCGATGCATTGTGTAATGACCATTCCTTTCAGACGTTGCTTCCTAAAATTAACACTTGATGCTCCGCATCTCGTGCAAATTTTGGAGAGTAACATCTTCAAGGAATGGTCATTCCACATTGCACTGAGACCTAAGTCTAGAAGTAAACAAAATGGTGGACATGAAATATCTATAAGAAACTATGGTTTGGGCTTTATCATACTCTAGCAATGCAAGAAGTGGACATTTTCATGCTCCTTCGTTGTTCTTTAGTTAGGAAAGATGATTTGTGGAAATTTTGGCTTCTTGCAAATGTGTGACTGTTACAAGGCTACTCCTTGAAACTTTCAAATATAAGCCTCACTTCACAGTCTTCATGCTAGATTTGGGGACCCATGCACCTCCACTTCATAGTTATGAAAAATGCGTTCAAATGTGATGTTTTCTTTGACATGTCTCTTTACTCTGGCGATCCACTCGATTAAGCTGGTTACCGAAACGAACCGTTTCGGTAACACAATTTCGGAACATCGAAGGTACGATTTTTCTTTTTTCCTTATCTCACATGTTTTAGGCAGATTTCCCACGACATTTTTAACACAAACGTGTATCAGTATCATATGTTTAAGAAAATGTACATATTTGCGAACAAATAGTTCAGAGGACAACAGAATCGTTGATTTAATTCCTCACTTAAGTTACAGAAACGGTTTTCGAAAAACAGTTAACAGGTAAGTGAGGAATTAAATCGACGATTCTGTTGTCTTCTGAGCTATTTTTTCGCAAACATGTACATTTTCTAAAACATATGATACTGATACACGTTTGTGAGAAAAGACGTCGTGAAGATTCTGCCTACAACACGTGAAATAAGGAAAAAAGAAAAATCGTACCTTCGACGTTCCGACATTTTGTTACCGAAACGAACCGTTTCGGTAACCAGCGTAATCGAGCGGATCACCAGTGCTTTAGCCAGGAAATTCATTAACATATAAGGAAAATAGACACAAAATCTTGTGACTTTATTAAAAAATTATGGCTGCCACTTTTTTGTACTTTTGATTAACTTTAATGTTACCTTAAAAAACTTAAAAATATGAAGCATATACGAAAAAGCAATTGATATATCATAAGTGCAATATTATATGGAAAACATTAATGTTTTACACGCAAAAAGTTTGTATATTTCAGATAAATCAGTTCAATGAACCCGTGGCCTCATGTACTCCAGGAATTAAAATTACACAAGTGTCAACGAAGCAGCAAAATATAAGAGGACACACAATTTATTAGTCAAACCACAAGCAATCCAAGCATTGCTAATATTGCACTGTGTTTTTTATAACTTTAGTCTTCAACCTTTTCTGTGGACCATGTTTTGCGGTTGGTGTTCGGCATTTGGCGATAAGCGACTGGCATCTGTAACTAATTATTACAACAAGTGCTTTTAGGCTGATTTCAAATTCTAAATTTATATTTTAGATTTGAGCCCCCCCCCCCCCCCCCCCCCCCCCCATTTGACGTTGGATTGACCTTCAATCAGATTCGAAATGTCAAAAAGTTGATCTTTCAAATTGATTATTTGGATCAAGATTTATCAATTGCAACCAAGTGGTAACATTTTGTCATGTTAATCTGTCATCTTAGGTTTTGATGACGCTCAGCCCAATTGAAAAATCAGAAATTGACAATAGCATGCTCACTAAGGTTACCAAACTTCGTACATGTACCCTCCAGGACAGGCTCTAAGTTGGAAGGGGTGGCTGGGAATGGGCGCCGATACGTGCTCCAATAATTTATGATGGAGTGAATTACAAAGTCAGTCGTCGATTCGTGGCCAGTAGCCGTCAAAATCCTTGTTTATTCGCTGAACTCTGTATACTGTCCCACCATCTATTACACTTTGATATTAATTTTAGTTTGGGTATGTAGCAAAAAACAGCAACTTGAAAAATATGAACACAACTACTTATATGTATGCAAGTCAAGAGTGTGGGCTGGGACATAATATCCCATGTAATATACAACTAGCATTCAATCTCAACTCTTTCAAGAATTTCAAACTCAATTTGAAAGACAGTAAGTATCATTCATCCAAACATGATGATGAATAAGTATTTCTGACATGCTTTCTTTTGCTACACGGCATGCTAACAATTTGATGTCATACCACGAAAGAATCATTTGATTACAATAACTTCTAAATTCAAATTTTAGACCACCAAAAAGTTTGAATGCCTCTTAAAATATAACTAGTGTTAAAGGTGTGAGGGTGATAAAGTGTAGATCTTATTCTTTAACTTTATTTTCCCTTTGTACATTCATTGATTCTACAATTTTCTTTTTTTATTTACTACATAAACGTCAGATCACTTGTACATACACTTAGATTGCGGCATAT